CTAAATCAGCCTTTTGAAAACAAACCAGGATATCTTGATTTGAATTCAAGCAAATACCAGAATCTCACGCACAGACATGTCTCTTCAGTGCTGTATCAGAATTAAAACAGGCTACTTTAGCTCACATTGCATTACATATACCTCTCACCTCAGTATGCCATGTATACTGTGCTTTGAAAGAGACACCAAATTTTACAGTGCCTGCATATAAGAAGTTATCAATGCAAATGAACAAAGTTAAAGAGAAAACTACCTGCAGGAGCACTTAGATACTGATATCTGGGTTATGAATGTTAAAATTACCTCCCTTAATTATCCATACAAAAAGTTGCAGCACTGCAAAAGAAAAATAAGCACAGAAATTTTCACCTTGGTGTATTTATAGCAATGAAATACAGAAAAAAGGAACCGAGACGTGGAAATAGAAATACCTGTTCAGAATATAAAGATTTTAAAGCAAAGTGCCATTAACCAAGCTTTTCAAATCTGTCAAGCTAGGAAGTGTTGTATTAAGCATACACAATTCCCTTGCAAAGCGCGCTGGAGTGCCCACGTATCCAGAGAACGGACAGAAAGCTTGTCATTTGAGCAGACCGTACGTCGAACTCGGAGCCTGCTGTTAAACTGTCGTACCAAGGCAGGTGAAGAGCCCCCAGATGGCTCAGGCTAGCTGTACCAGCGTCCCGGACCCAAGGCCAATACATCGTATCGGCTCATACCCTACGCGCTACCGCTTTCGGCCAACCTACACCGTGAGCTTACCTTTATTCACAGGTGTTAGGATGTTTGTTTCTCAACAAAGGTTGTGAAAGAAAACCAATTAACTGTTGTCTCTAACCACTAGGTGTCAGCAGAAGAAAGTGCACGGTCAACATTTTTGCTGCAGAAAACACCAGTCCCATTTCCCCCCCACTGTTACCGACATACACACAACTACTGAGTACTACAAACCACCTTTACACGCACGTTTACTACATGTGTGTGAAGGTGGTTTGTAGCACTTGTAGTATTTCTGTTGAAGATGACCTAATTTTGTGAATTAAATGTTTAGAAGATGATAAAAACATTCCCTCTGCAAACAGCAAAAAATCAGGAATTTAGAAAAAAGTAATTCAAGTGAACAAAATGCTCACATTGTTGTCACTGTTAAAAATTTAAGTAATATTCATAAAGATAACAATCTGCCTCAATACAGCCAAGTAAACACACTGCTTCTAATGCGTTTTACTGAACTTAAGAGCAGCAGAGCTTTGTGGAGACTGCAGGTACATCACACGTAACAGATATTCTTCCATACTTAAAAGTCTGGCTTAACGCAGCTACAGAAGACACAGATACACAGTAGGAAACATAACTGAATCTGTTATTTTGTTACATAAATCTTATGATTAAACGTGCAGACTGTATTATCTGGATACGTTTTTTCACGCAAAAGTTCTAGTTACTCAAGGCCTCAAAAAGTTTACAGCAACGGTAACTCATTCATTGTGGGTGTACTGGTTCGTATATACCTCACATAACCTTGTATCTTTAGAGTACAAGCTTCTGAATAGAATAAGAGCTCTGACTATGCTTAAGTGTAATGTGAACTTAAAGTCTGCTCTGTGACACATTCTGGGCCTCCACAGAATAATGAAAGATAGTGTCATGCTATTTAGCTTGAAAAGATAACTCATACCAGATGAGATGGTCTATGAAATTAAATTGTCTTATGAGATAAAAACTATGAAAGGAGGAAAAGTTGCTGCTGCTTTGAATTTATTTCCTAATTATCAATGATTTTAAATGAACGGTCAGATTTCTTGAGTTATGGGACATCAAATGCAAAGAGCCACATCATGTTCAGTATTGCTTATGCCCCATATTTACGACATGTGAAGGTGATAAGAGAAAAAAAACACAATGGAGGTATTTGAAAATATGTTCTTTTCCTAGAAGCTATTATTTCTTCCATTTACTTTTCTATTTGTCTTGGACACATCTAAATTATTTTATTTGCAACTGTTACACCAGCAACAGTTTCAAAGATATTTTTTTTCCAAACAGACATTAAAATTTTAAAGCAAGTTATGACAGCCACTGTGGTCTTTGTAGATTCTGATACATCAATGGAGAGCAATCCAAGAGCTGCTGCACACACTTTAATATTCTTCCACTATTCAACAAGAAACTCCTGTCATTCCGTATTTATACGAGAAGATGTGTATCATGACCACTTTGAACACCTCTTAGTATATAATCCACAAACTCGACGAACTGAGCTCATCAGCTGACAGGAAAATACAATGAACATAATTGCTGTGTAAAGAAGGAATTACATGAGAGTACAGAAGACTATTTCAAGTGCAGCATTCAAACTACAGCACAACAGAGAAACATGGGGCTTTAAATTGCAAGATGCCTTACTAATTACCAGTTACGGTGCTTTGTTATTAAATTACAATCCCATTTTCTACGTGAACTTAGCGAGTATATTTCCTAATTGTTTTACTCATTACACACTGTTGTTTGGAGTTTTGCTGCATCTTCTTAAGATCAGCTTTTCCAAGGGTTTTGAACTAATTTTTAAGTGTGATGTTCCTAAGAGTAACAAGAGTCTCTCAGTAATTGCATTTACTGTTGGAATATTCTATAACGCAAGTGAAGTATAAAGTAGTTGTATGACCTGCCCAATACCTCATAGGATGTCTGTGGCAAAACTGGAAACAGACTGCAGGTCATTTGACTCTGACATGTTCAGCACATGAAACACTTGCAAATTTTCTTTATCTAAATCTTAATACTGAAATGTATAATCATACATTAAATTTTTAATTTATAAAAGGACTTGGGAAAGAAAGCCCTGAAAACTTCCACTTCCTGATTATTAAAATTGGATTTTATGACATATTTGTGCAATTATGTTTACAAGTTTTCTTTGACAGAATGATAAGCAAACCAAACAATTTCTTCTGCTTCTTCAGGTTAGCTGCCCCTCGAAGTTGCACTTTCTAGGAGTGTGCCATTGTCAACCGCTTTTGAATGTTCATCTTTAACATTCAGCCTTCAAAATACCAGATGGTATTTCCAGAAAAGCAATTTAAATTTTTATTTTTCTTCAGAAATCCCTTAACTAGTTAAGCTCACACACACATCCAGGCAAAGCATACACCAATATTCCCAGAGTTGCCTGGCAACTACTGGGAGGAGCATCGGAGAACAAGGAATCCTGCATGGATGAAGGGAAGTCAAGTGTCTCCCCGACATGGATAAAGGAGGCTTACAGCCGGAGTGCCTTGCTGGTTTCAGTTTTGTTATTTGTATGGACAACATCTTAAATAGCTCCCATTATTTCACCCTAGATGCTTTAAAAGCCCAATAGTTACACCCAGACATAGACACACCATTCAATACAATTTCTTTCCTCACACCCACGACACATGGATTCCCCCAGTAAGAAGTGGAAGGACTCGTGATGACTTCAAAAGTCGTTTTTGAACCCTGAATATGAATTGTTGGAATGATGCTAAATAGATGGTGATAACTGGACTGTTTAAAATTCAGACTGAGCTATTTTTTCCTTTGGCTTTAAAAATAACAAGTAAGACAAACTAGAGTACTGAAAAGACTTCAGCGACTGAAATATCCTCAAGAAACACTATGCCTGTAGTCTAACTTCTGGTCTTTTCCTCTAACATCATGATTAAAATTAGATTTATTACTTGCCTGCATGCCAGATCTCTTCATTAATCTTCACAGAGCAGGAGAATGCAAAATACAACACCTTTTCTCAACTAGTAAGCCTTCAATTCTCACTCCACTCATTTAGTCTCCCCACTTACACTCAGAACTCAGCATCTCCCAGTGGTATTCAAGCTCTCCACTGCTACCACCAATTTTCCCTTCTGCCTCCAAATGCTTGCAGTTGAGAGAAGAAGGTATTAAGGCAAAAGTACGTTTTGTCCTCTACAGAGATCTTCTTGCTAAGTAGACATAGGTCTAAAGAACAGTAGTGCAAATGAGCCTGCAAACGCCGCATTGAGATTTATCACTGCATTTGACTGGCACACGTGCTAGTTTCCCCTGCTTCAGAAACAGGGAACATAGAATATTTTGGAAATATTCTATGGATCACTCTGCAGATAGTACTTTTCATCCCCCCATATTTCTGGGACATATCTCATTAATTATACCTGAATGTTCCTCATACTATTCACTTTGTCTCTAACTGTCTATCAGCAAAATGTACACACTTTAAAAGGAACCCCCTAAATACACGGTAGCAAAACCAGAGTGTCACAAAACATGTGGAAATACATTAATTTGGCTGGACTGATTTGTATTGAAGTCCATGAACCTACTTGCAGTAAGCCAGGAACAGATGCCTCACTAGAAGCAATAAAACCCAAGACCAAGTACTGAAAAATCCTTCCCCCACTCAGATGGCACTTAATCATTGCTAAATAGAGATGAGCTCTGAACCAGAAGCAAGCCATTGGATTTCCCTAACAGAACATTTATTTTCAGTAGTTACAACTCCAGACATTCTTTATATTTCTGTAAAACCACAATTTCTTTATGTTCTTAAACTCCATGATTCCATAAATTTGCATGTTTCACAGTTAAGCATATATTGCGTAAAAAGTTTATCTTTTACTACCTTTAAAAATAATACAACGAATACCCAGGTTTTGCAGTGAGAGAAAATGGTCAACTCTGTACTAGCCTCCTATGATCACTAATTTATACTTTTTTATCACCTCTCTCCTAACTTAACTGTCTTCAAAACCAAGCAACACCCATACCTTTGCATAAGAAGTTTTCTCCCCGTGTGACTGATCATGCTTGTTGCACCTCTTTCTTTTTTGGAGACTGGAACACAGTTTTCAGTATTAGTCAGCCAAAGAGCCACAATGCTGACCTTAGTAGGAGTAGGTTATACTACGCTTTGAATTCTTGTTAGCTTTTTTCCCCACCACAGCTGCAGATTTACATCTTATGCCTACTAATTTCCTACTTACAGGTTCAATTTTCAGGGCATTTCTGTAGCTCCCAAAGAAAGATGCTTGTGCTTTTAGAAATGCTCTTGCAACGCCATCTCCAGTGGTTGTAGAGACTTTCTTCAATCTGTTCTTCAGTGCAGAAACCTGAAATCACACAACAGGTCTAGATCACTCTCATATCACAACGTTGGGGCACAGCTAAATGAAAAATGTGCTAACCACAGCAGCAGTTACGACAAAAAGTGACATTGTGAATTCAGAGTTGAATTTTTCAGTTCTAAAAGCATTACTTTTCAAGCTGTTTTGCTTCTTTAAGATATTCAGAAACCAATAGGAAAATAAAAGCTTCATTTCAACCTTCCCTCCTACTTAAAATCCGTTGTTAACATTCTGTTGAGTACTCTTTTAAAGGTAGTCCATGAAGTTCTGTGTCATTCTTGAATAGAATCCATGAAAGAATTTCAGCTAAATTAATTCAAACATCAGACTAACAGAGAAACTGTTCTGTATAATCAGGCCGTCCATCACCACCAAGGCTAAGAACAAATTCTGTAGGTCTGAAAAATTTGTTTGCCACAGATGCAAGGGTTTTTTTTCTTTTAAGGCTATATTCCCTTGTATTTCAGAGACTTAATGGAAAATAACAAAATGAGAGTTTTATTTATGCATATGGTGGGTTCCCTTGGCTGCCCCCCAGACCCCCCCCCAGCCGCTCTCTCACTCCCCCTCCTCAGCAGGACTTGGGGAGAAAACACGAAGAAAAAGCTCGTGGGCCGAGATAAAGACAGGGAGATCGCCTACCAATTAGCATCACGGGCGAAACAGGCTCGCCTTAGGAAAATTAATTTAATTTATTTCCAACTAAAATAAAGTTGGATGGTGAGAAACAAAAGACAGAAACTAAAATACCTTCCCCCCGCCCCGGCCCTCTCAACTTCCCTGCTCCAGCTACCTCCTCCCTGAGCAGCGCAGGGCGATGCACGGGGGGCCGCGGGCCACCCGTACCAGTTCCCCTCTGCCGCTCCTTCCTCCTCACGCTTTTCCTCAACTGCCCGCTTTGCCGGGCAGCGTTCCGCCCTTTCCTACATGCGCCTCCAGAGCGGCACCGGCAGCGCTGCTGACGGGCTCGGCCGCGGCCGGCG